GTTTTTGTACTTAAGTACAAGTACAAAAGTATTTATCTCGAAGTACAAGTATAAGTACCAAGTACTTTTCTTAAAGTATAAGTACAAGTATCAAGTACATTTTTGCAAGTACAAGTATAATACTTTTGCTTGAAAAAGTACTAAAAGTACAAGTACAAATACTTTCGTCCTAGCTCTGGTGTGGGGATGAGGATGAGGTGCTGGTAGGCTCACCCACATCTCACCCTAAGCCCAGAATAAACTGGAGATGAATTTGGCGCACTTTTTTGGGTGTTCTTACCCTTTCTTCTTTGTGTTCGTGGGTGTTCTTTGGGTGTTCGTGGGTGTTCATTCAAAATGTATGCTTAAAAAGCGAAATTGTTTGAATACTGTCTGATAATGATGCTGCAACAGTAGGTACAATGGTCGCGTAATTTTGTCTGATGACTTATTTTCTTAGCTTTTGCATTTTACCGGTTGTTTTTTATCCGGCAGTCACTGAGAGGAGAGGTAGCGTTTTAAAAATGTTCCAAGTATACGGAGACTGCGTACGTGTATGTGTCCTATCTGATAGCAGCACACTTTTGATTTCAGTAGAAAAATAGACAGCGGCGCAAATGTCGGTACTCAAATAGCGCAGAATCTAAAAGAGTGTTTTTGTCACTTACGTAATAATGGATTCCAATCGACATACGCTGCAACACGTGTGTAAACGGACGGCATATTTGCCATACCGCACCCGGTAACGTTTGAAACTAACCCAATTAAAATCCATCGACGATTCACAATATCATATTGAAGTAGTGGTGCACTTAGATCATCAAAACAAGCATCTTGTAAACCAGCAGTAAATCCAGCACAAAATAATTCACCACTATAACTGGAACTAACGAATTGACTACAGAGTGGATTTGTATCGGGTTCGAGTGTACGTAAAATAACTTGATTTAACTGTGATGACCCACCATATCCAATGAGTACTGCAACTGTATTATCTGGTGGATAAAAAATAGATTCTATTGACGGTAGACAGATTGGTGTTGAATTTGGTACACTCGCATTTAAAACTAAGAGCGCTAAATCGTTGATGTGGAGACCATTACCATAACTAATATAATCTGGATGTTGGATGACTCGTAGAACTTTTAAACGTCCTGTATAATAAAGTGCTGACGTTAATTGATAATCAACATACAATTCTGGTACAGTTAAACTATGATGACGAAGACAACTGACCGTTGCATAAACTCTTGAAGTTGAATTCACTAACATACCATGACAATAAAATACCGTTTTTGTACCAATTCTGACCAACCATGGCCATAAACGTGAATCTGTTACTTTTGTGCCACCAACCACACGCTTATGTCGTCGTCGTCGTCCTCCTGTTGTAGTAAAGGTCATATTTCGAAATACAGGATCAACTCCTGTTGTTTGGCATCCACATGGAGAATACAGATTACAATTAATATTTTGAAGTAGTTTTGGTACTAAACGAACAATAACTTTGGTTTGAATAGGTGTGGTTGTTATTGTAACAGGTATCAATGTAGCATTCTTCTTTCCATAAGGTGTCAATCCTATACCTAAACCTAAGCCAAGTGACATACTTAAGAGGATGAGAAATATTCCAATTGCAACAGCAATCAAACTTAATAATGCACTACTAGGATCATTAATCACCTCTTTTTTCGTATTTAAATACTGCCTGCCACTGCCTGGAATGGCATTGTTCAAATTTGCGGATACTAACATTTAATTAATTATAATGTTTTTACTTTTTTTTTACTGACAAGGATATGTATAACAGCCAGGTACGAATTGTCTTTTTCCTTTTCTAAATTTGTAAATAAGAGATGGGATAGTGTGTTTCATTCTTTTACAAGGTTTTTAATCATGCGTAACCGTCGGCATTTATTATTTTCAAAAACTCACCATCGTTTTTAATAACCTAATCGTTTTAACGTATAATATAATTATAGTAGTCTGATCAGTTTTTCAATTCGGCGTTCTTTCTTTTCTTTACCTTTATACACACGTTGTTATAATACTGACAGGCTCTGCAGCAGCGGTGGCGTTGTCACCTTATTACATTTCTTTAGGTCAATCACAAACTGTCAACACATATATTCTGCTTTTTCAGAGTTGAAAATTCCAGCTGTGAAATCAGTGAATGATTCTTTAGCATCTGGTAAAGAGTCCGTTTCTGATAGTTTCAGGCAGATCAGCCCATAAATCCTGGAGAACGTACTTGATTACTCGCTAAGTACTTGTCAATGATCGAAATACTTACCTTATTGCTAATAAGTACTTTCTGAAAGTACTTGCAAGTAAGGACAAGTACTTATAAGTACATTTACTTCTGGACAAAAGGCAAGTTCCGGCTTCATTACGCAGACGAAGTACTTAGTTTAAGTACTTGGCCCTAAGTACGTTTTTTAGCAAAGTATGCTAAAAGTCAACTTTCATTTGATAATTCTGTTCTTTTGTTGGTCCATAGTATTTGGTGAAAATATAAGACTTTAAATCAACGTTCTCACAGAGATCCAGATATCATAATTTTTGCATCTTATCATGCGCTTTTTATGCCATGTTATAAAGAGTGATCTCATTCTTAGTTACCACTGAGTAACAGGTGGACTTGCCATTTTTACATCCATAAATACATGAAGCAAGTTATTCAAATCTCTTCCAGCTGGCTCAGCAGATCGACCAAGTTCATCGGCGCTAATGATCCGTGGGCTTTTAGTTCCATCATTTGCACTCTTACTTCAGCTGAATTGTCTATTACTGCTGTTGTTTATTAATGTTCAGTTCACAATGTCGTTACACTTTCGAGTATCAGCAACGTGACGAATGTAATGGCACAGATAGAATGAGAGGCATGCGTATATGTTGTGTGAGTACTGGTAATTTAGGAGATGTTTCTAACGGAATCTTTTAGCAAGAGCAAATTGCAAAAATGTGGTTGTGATAGAAAATTGTTGTGTTCATTCTAAAGTTGTTCGTGAATTTCGTTTTTTCGTGAAAGTCGTTTTTTTGGACACCTATTTGTGATTCAAAAATCGAAAAAACTCGCAAGGTATCAACCAGTCTCAAAATGCAAGATTTTAGAGAACTGGCCGTAGTTTTTTTCGCGTTGTGGTTTCTACAGTCGAATCAAAGGCTTTTGGATTCAGCTTTCAAAGCTGAATAAGAAAATAGTCTGAAAGCTTTTCTCGGGCCCAACGCCTATTTGCAAAACATCTCGAAATGCGTATGACCAAAGAACCTAACACAGATTTTTCTAGAGGCCGTAGAGGCAATATTTTTATATGGCCCGATCCGCCAGATGCTCCTCTTCTATACGTACACTTTTTGAAAGGATGAGTGGCATTAGCTTAGGTTCGCGAACCACATCGAATAGGCACGAGTTACAGTTTTTCGGAATCAGCATTGAATTCTGAACAAAACTGTCGCTTCAGATTTTTTAAATGCGACAAAAAAATGTTTTCGAAAAATTTTAGGGCAAACCCCCTGGTCAGGGACGTCGAAAATTTTTTTTCCGATTTTTTGACAAAGAAAAGTTTTCTCTTACAGATTCGAGTGTGCTGATTACGAATATCGCAACCGCAGCTCCAACAAATGGTTTCCTGAGGAATGGCATCCATTTTAATTT